GTTAATTAAATCGAAATATATTTTAAAAAAAAAAAAAAAAAAAAAATTCGGAAAATATATTTTGATTATTCCAAAACAGCGCCATCTATGGTAGACGATCGCAGTTACGAAGTCGATCGACGAAAGTCGACGCCTTCGGATGTTTTTGTAATTTAAGTTTTTTTGGCCCAAAGGATCTTTTACCCGGAAAAATAGCATTTTGTATACAAACGTAAACATGTCTTTACCTCTTTCTAAAGTGCTGGCACCGAAAAGAGGCAACAGTTTAGACGTAGAAAGGGAAAATTTCGAGAAAACCCAAGTGAGTACCATTAATATATACAAATCGGTGGAAGTTACTTTCGGTAAAACATACGTATGTAAGTCTATGGGACGATTAACTAAAAGTGATCCCTACCCTCGGCGTAATGCGAGTTAATTATTTAATTTAAAAAAAAGTGCCTAATTATCGTATTTGTACTGTAGATTATTAAGATTTAATGCCTTTATAAGGATTTACGGGCGTTAAAATTGCTTTTCGGTGCCTCACAATGGATAAAAACAACAAAAAAAAAGACTGAACATAATGCAGGATATGCCCCTGGTGTGGCCTCAAAAATTCCTTCACTTTTCCTTTTAAGGAAGCTTTTCTCCTCGATAATTCCATTCATGATTTGCATAACCTCTATGCAAAAATGCCCACGAGATATACATTAGATGACATACATTTCAGGAAGCTTTATGGATGGATGATGTTTTATGTCAATAACCACGTTCGAACACTTCCTTTTTAGATAATATTCGGAATTATGCGATCGACGTCGGGAGATTTCGGCACGTCGCCTTCCGAAACGCGGATCCCGTCGGCCACCGGGAGCTTTGATTTGCCGAAGTAAATTGCGGCGTGGCTTCCCAATCGGATGCAAAAACTAGAATGAACGGTGCCACCGGAATTTGCCGTGGGCACGACATATTTACCGAAAGAGGTTAAGTGTCACGCGTTACTAGATTGATCTGATTTAGATAATACGTTTTAATTATTCTGTGTAAACATTATTCGATATATTAGAAAATTAAGTGATGATATACACGGATACTCGTGGCTTCTTGAATTTTATGAAAGGACTCTCTCTAAAATGCATTTCGGTAAAGTAGTACTTGTACGGAGGCTTGTAACTTGAACGTCTGCGAGGAAAACAGAGAAAAATGATGGTGAAACGAGCATGTAAAGTGAAAACAACTTTTTATTATTATAGATCGATATTTTACTAATAATGTCGATTTAAATAGGTTTCAGGCGTAAAGTCTGCCAAATTATCTTCCTCTCTTAAACTATTTATGAAGTTAATTAACTAATTTTAAAGATTAAAAAAAGTAAAATAAATAAAAGAATTTTTAATGTTCGTTATGCATAACGTCGAAATGTTAATTTTAGACCACTAGTATATCGAAAGCCATCAACAATCATGAGTCACCGGTGAAAGAAAAACATGTCCGAAGTATCCTTTTTTTTTTCATTTTTATGTATGTATTTACGTATTTTTAAGAATTAATAAGTACATTTCGGCGAGTAATTACGTTTAATTTAAAAAATTATTAAGTATTTCTACCGTACGTGTATTTAAACAGAGCATTTAACAGCAAAAAGAACTAAATGAAATGAAATACATTTATCTTAATTTAAGCTGCTGGCACTGAATCAATTCTGACATTAAAGTAACTGCCCTGATTAAAAGCAAGTGGTATATATCTTGGTGTATCATGTATAGTTTACTGCATTCACTGACAAATGAAGGTCAAGTTGATGAATTCGGCTTCACTTTACTCCCTATAAAATTGCTTCTTTTAATGTGTTAACCATATGTTCGAGTTTAACGTTTTAAAATTTTGTTTTTTTCTTCCAATCGTATTGTTCTTAAAATAGAAATTCTTCGAAGAATTTTAACCCCTCGATAATTTTATTAAAAAAGTATAATTAGAACTTTGAAACGTAGGCATACGTATCTATAACAGTTAATAGTGTGATAGTTTATCAAATAGTAGGAGCATTTTATTATTTCGAACTTTAATTTATTACTGTATATACCTCGATATTACCAGCAGCTTAAAAGAAAGTCTAGTATTGGCTTACGGAATTCGATATCTGCGTAAATACAAATAGCAACGGAGAGAACTTTGTCACGTGTCTGCCTCCGGTGCATAATCCACGTGGACTATGCTTAATTACGCAGAAATTTTCCGGCAAATTCAATTTAAAAAATAATTGTTTTAATTTAAAGCTTTCTGTTAATGTTATTTAATGTAAAAATTTAATTTTTAAGACTGTATTTTAATAGAAACGTTAGCAAATTTAAGGAAGAAATTCTTTAAAAATGCTATCAAACAGTTGATTTTTAGTATATCGAGAAAATACTCTTTTTATTTGTGTAGTGCAGATATTATATGTTATCAAAAATACTTCAAGTAGTTATTTTTACTGTGATAGTATTATCGATACGGTAAACCAATGTTTTCAACCTTCTTGAATACATAACCCCTTTACAAGTTAAAAAAAATTCTGGCAATCCCCAGGGCCATATTTAAACTATATCAGCGATTTTAAAAACTACATATTTAATTTTCTTTCTTTAAATGTCGATCGAAAAACCAATTTTACTGTAAAAAAAACAGGCACAGCCTTCTCGCTGAAATTCTAGTTTTTTTTTTTTTATTGTAGTGTAGGACCTACAAACACTTGTCTTTTCTTACACCCGCGACCCCCCCGTGTAAGACTTTGCGACCCACAGGTTGAAAAACACTGCGGTAAACTATCAATTAGATCTAGGGTTCAAAACGTAACCGTTGTTAGATCCTATACAAATATTCAGATGCAATATTGGGAACATTCCGTGAAAAGGGTGCAGGTACATTCTGGAGTGTTGTCATGAAATTACCATTACAAGGAAATCCAATAGTCTGTTGGAAGTTTTGTCATGTTCTTCATAAATTACTTCGTGAAGGTCATCAGCACGTAAGTAAAAATTTTAATTAATCATTTAGGACATGTAAATTAATTTTTCTTTTTTTTTTTACTTCCTTCCTACTATGATTTATTTTCTGTTACTTATCGAGAAACTATTATCAGATCGTCTGCCGTCGTGTCAATAATAGAATTATTTAACGATAACAATTATTCGAGAGATAGTACGTGTTTAAATCCTACTGCTATATGCAAATATTTATCAAGTGATATTATTATATTAATTATATTTATAGAAATGTTAATGATATAAAGCTCTAGAAATCTTAAATTTTTCATTTTTGTGTGTATTTATATTTGATTAATTAATTAATTAATATTGCTTTACCTAAGTGCGCAAACTTTACTGCATTATAATTTAAATTCAAAATTATTTAAGTTAGAACTGATTTATTATAAACAATGTATTTTTGCAGACATAACTAAATCAGGAAATGTAACTTGCATCTGTTCCTAGAATTCCTGTTGTAAACATTAATTATTAGATATAATATTTTACTTTTACAAGCTGTCAAATGCTTATTCGGATATATAGATTGCATTAGATAGTAAATTTTATAAATATCAGCTAGCAATAATAATTAAAGGTTGTGATAACAAAATTAGGCAAATTTTATTAATAAATAAATCAAAAACAACTGTTTATCGTGTCAATTGAACGATTTTCCTGCCTTATTTCAGATTCATAGAATATTTCGAGTACATTCACTTCATTGAATTATACGTGAACATTGTATTAATATTCTAATTAAATAAAAATTTTGTTTTGTTAGAGCAAAATTATGTAATTTTCAATTGTATTTGGGTCTATAGATCCATCTGGTGATAATTCTAGCTATATTTTGAGTGTAAGCGGACCCTTGAAAGGGAGCATAGCATCCCTGTAGAGAGTTGTACCAGAGATTGACACGATATAATCAAACTTAAATTCAAGGGAAGAAAGAGGGAAGTAAAAACTAAATGCCGAACATATCCTAAACAAAATGCATACTAAAATCCACTAAGAAATGAAGTATTTGTGAAAATATAATTCACTTTTTTATAGTAAATATCACAGTCACTTTACCAGTACGTTATAAATGGCTTGTTAAAACATTCAACTTTCCAAACGTACCTTTAGATTTCAGTTGTCCGTTCAACATTGCAAGTTACACTTACAAACTGTATGAATACCACACTACATAACAGAAAAATATTACATATGTGCATGTAGTAATAACCAAGTTTATATAAAGGTGGTGTAAGTGTATTGGAGCCACAGTAAGACTCTAGAAAAGCATGGATCTATAGTCTAGAACCATTTCGCTCTAATGAAGTCATGAGTGTTGAAAGGAGCAGTTATGCTTGTTACTAATTTCATAAATATATTCATAGGAAATACCATTTGTTTGAAATGCTTATTTAATCGATAACTTCCTTAAAAATATCTAAAAGAAATTTTTTTAAACTGTATTTTTTAAGTTATAAATTATACGAAGATAAATTTTACTTGTTAAATTTATTGCCAAGTGCTCCACCCAATTACGTTTTATGTTCTAATGCAATTTGAAATCTTTGCAAATATAAATTTTAAGTTGATAAATTTAGAATCCTAATAAATTATGGTATAAATATAGGCGTCAGCCTACCATTCTAGAAAACCCAGGATTGAATCTGGGCCTAGAGCTCCAGAAATTTGTCTTGTATACGTTCGGCCCCGTCCTCATTTTCTGTCTGTTCCATCATAGGCACATATGGACCTATAAAAGGCCCTCTTAGTGCACATGGATGGAAAAAAAGTCAGAAGTAATAATAAATATATGAATTTTGAGTCTTAAACTTTTTAATTTTAGTTAAAATATAATTTTTTTTTTAATCTTAAAAAAAAGCTTAATTAATAACTTTATAAGTCGTGTTGCAGGTCATTCCAGATTCACAGAGATATAAATCGCATCTAACTGATCTGGGAAAGTTATGGGTGCGTATTATTTACATAATTTATAAAATGGAATTTATTTATGTATAAAATATTCTAATGTATGTATTTTTTAATTTATAGGGGCTTTTAAAAGAAGGTTATGGAAGATTGATAAGCTGCTATTGTAATGTGTTGTTAATTAAATTAGATTTTCACAGGAGAGTGAGTTATTATGCTTTTATATATAATCATGAGTTTATTAAACGTCTTCTTTCGCAGGTAATATATAAAATTTATCTTGTAGAATCCCCGCTTTCCGGGAAATATGATCGTAACAGATGAAGAACTTGACGATATTGGAGAAAAAGACGTTAATGTATTGTAAGTATATCTTATACATAATAATAATATGACTTATTTTATTAATAAGCAATGAAAAATTCATACTAATTTAGTAATCGATAAACTCTTAAGATTACATTTTACATACAAAAATAAAGCTAAATTCATACTTAGTCTGTGTAAAATGGACATTGGACATGCAAACACTTTGTGATAGTTTATTTACCTTACTTAGAGCATACATTATGGGAGTTTTTATCACTTTTTAATCATACATACCACATACATATGGATTGTAAGGTGTGTAGAACTTGAGGGATGGTATGTAGGGTCTAACCATACCATTACTCAAGTTCTATATATGGTTGGCTGAAGAGGGATTAAAAAATCCCAAAATAAATCCCAACTTGAGTAACTCCTGTGCAATAAGATCCAATAAAATGATACAAAACACCTGTGCGTACGATCTGTTCTATACATGACCGAGCATATTCAGAATATTAAATTACAGACTACGTTCTACCTTACAAATAAATACAAGTAATAACACTCTGAATACAATAATAAATTTAAATTGCTTTCAATATAATAGCAGGAAATGTATATCCAAGTGTTAGATTATTATTTAAAACTATATGAAAAAAAATGAAAATTTATGCAAATTGTTATCATTTACATATCACTTTAGATGAAAGTCATAATTATAGTATAATGGCAAGCCTTAGTCAATGAGTTAAATTGATCGAGATTGCAATAAACATTGATAGCTTACTCTCGAGATTTAATTATCAAAAATCATTTTAAAATTCCTTACATTAATTATTTTTCTTTTTGGAAATAGTTTATAGAAATAGTTCTTGATTTCTGAACCATTTGTTTGGTCTTTTAGATGAGCTTGCCTATTACTGCTTTAAATATTTGTAAGTATAATAGAGCATTTTAGCGTAAAAATATATATTAATTACTTTTCCGAGAAAATTTCAATTATCAGAATTTAAATTATTTTCGCTTTTAGATTTATCGTAAAAATAAAAATATATTTTTTAAATGTTATACAGTTTCCAGTTAACGTGCGAAATGTTTGATTACATGGAAGAGATACTTGCTCTTCAGGCAGCAGGTGAATTTTGCAATTGTTAATCTTTTGTAATAAACAATGCATCGGTTAATACTGTTTCTCAACAGTTTTCGGTTCTTTGGACATGTCGCGATCAAATTCGATGACAAACACGGGCCAGTGCCGTCTAGCTCCTCTCATTCCCTGCATTCAAGATTCCAGTCTTTTATATGATTACATTGTAAAGGTGCTCTTCAAGCTTCACGCTGGTAAGATTTGATTTTATTATTTATTTTGTTTTAACTTTTTTCTCAATATCAAATATCAATTATTTTTATAGCCTTATCACAAGACACATTAACAGGACATAGGGAGAGGTTTCTTAAACAATTTAAAGGGTTAATGTTCTATACATATAATTTTTTATGTAACAAAAATATTAAATGATGTATTAAGACCCGTAATTACATTTTAGGCTTCAACAGTTTTATATCAACTCGAGTAACCTTCAATATTTCAAATATCTTATTCAAGTACCTTTATTACCTGATGTAAGTATATTTTAATTTGAAATTAACAAACGAATGAATCTTTTTAGTCATTTATAATTTTGTATTCCAGAAACCACCCAATTTTCTAGTCGCTTCAGATTTAAACACGCACGTTAGTCCAGTAGTTATCCTTCCACCTCAGACGGACACTCCCGAAAATGAATTCGTAGAAGGTCACTTAGTAGACACTTCAGTTCCTCCCGTGAGCTGGAAACTTTTAATTTTCATTCATATTGTGTGCACCTATCAAACTTTCATAAATAATAATAATTTCAATTTTTTAATCAGCAAGCTCAAGCACAATTCGAAGATGTTTTCGGCTCTGGAGGAATGGGCGAATTCAATTTCCAGCAGAGGAATGGTTCTATTTCTCCAAATCAGTTAGCTGAAAAGTAATTAATAATACTATTAGAATATATTTTGAATTTTATTAAATTTAAAGTATAAAGCCGAAAATCTCGGTTTACAATTGATTAAGTGTAGTGTGATGTAACTGATAAATTATATTTGAGAAGTCAACTATATTATAATTTCGATTCAACGTCAACTACCTAAATTAATATATTTATTAAATGTATTACGATGGTGACTTTACTTATCTATATAAGGTTAGATTGTTTTAATTATTAAATTATTTATTATCCAAATTATAATTAGACAGAAAAACTTCTAATCCAACAATTTTACAAAATTAAACCAGGTATTATTATCTTAATTTGCTAGGGATAGATTAGTAGAACAGTTGTTGAAAGAGATTGAAGATCTTAAGATGGAATTGAAAAAAATGAAAATTGAGGTGAGTTAGATAAATTTCAAAAGTTTCGTATTAGTTTTTTAACTAAATAAAATATTATTTATTTCAGTACGAGCGACAGATTGACGATTTGAAACGATTAATAATAACTCACGAAGGACAAATTGCAGAATTAGAAAAGAGACTTGAAATAGTACAAAAAGTAAATTTAATTTTTTAGGTGTACCGATATATCTTTAATTTTTAACTAAGTAATTATTAAATAAAATTTTATTAATTTTAGGAAAAAGAAGATTTGGAACAACAATTAACTGCGGCAACAACTATAGAAGAAACATTATCTAAGGCAACTGAAGCCGAAAGTAACTACTCTAAAGATTAAAATATATATTTTTACATTATTTCTAGCTATGAAACTTATATTTGAATTTTATAGAAAAAGCAAAGTGTCAAGAAGAAAAGTTTTATAAAATGAAAGAAGTTTACACTAAACTAAGGGAAGAACACATTGCATTAATACGTTCTGTAAGTGTTTTTTATGAAAAAAATATACATTTACTTGAGAAATATTTAATTTAAAATGTAGTAATGTGTCAATTATCCAAAATAATTGGGACAAGATGATTTTGGATAACTTACCACATTCAGTAGAGAAAGAATAAAAAAAACAAATACTTTAAATCAAATAAAAACATTAATTTTAATTCTAATAAAANTTTTAAAACAACGCCCCAAATTTATTAGTGTTGCCAGATGCGTCAGTAAATATTGACGAATGATAACGCTCGTTACGTAAAACGTCAGAAGAGTTTACAAATCGAGCGAAACGCATTTTATCAATCTTAATTTTTAAATATTTTTGGTAATGATATGAATCATTTTATAGAGATGCATTTAAATAACTCGGACGAAGAAATGTATTACGAGCGAGAGAACGACGATAAAACTCGTCACGATCAATGGGTGCGATTGAACGTCGGAGGGACTTACTTCTTGACAACCAGAACCACTCTCTGCAGGGATCCCAACTCCTACTTGTATCGCCTGTGCCAAAATGACCCCGACCTCAACCCCAAAAAGGTAAATTCTGCCACTGTTTTTGTATAAATTGATGTGTCTTCAATAATCGTTATCTCGTTTATTAATGTTTTTATGTAAAAATCAGTAGAATTGCAGTCCTGAATGAAGACTTTGGACCTCATATTGGTACGATGTAAACCCTGAATGAGGGATTTGCCACCCCTGAGTTATAGACCCCTCTGAACGAGCAAAAATGTCAATGGAACCATACCTGTATGTATTTGCCTCCAAAGGTCAGATTTACCGTTACCGGTACTACTGCCTATTCTCTATGCGTGTCATTCGAGACGAGCAATGTTCTGCATATAGTTGTGCACTTCGGTGTGAACCGTTGCTCGCACCGAAGTGTTCGCATGGGGTGTAAGCTCTCGCAGTCCCCCTGAAACTGTATAATGTTGAGTATTCTGAGAACGGTCGAGTGGGCCAGCATAGTTGCCTGGGGATAAGTAGTCAATGCAATAGTCTGGCAGAACAATGCAACTCCCAATCTGGGACCAAAAGTAGGCCAATTTTTGGTGGCAGTATCTCACCGAGGGTTACATGTAAAGGTTCCTCTGACATTTTGCTCCTGTGGGTATGATCTTGGTTCTGATAAAGTCCCGACTGTCTCGTTTGGAGGTAATTATACCCCAAAATTTTAGACTCTCTCTAGATTACCAAAAAGTCAAAGGAACCTTATCTCTAACTGTGACTCTTGGTGAGACATTTGCCTCCAAAGTTTTCGTGACTCAAGAAGGGACACCAGAAGGGGTGTAATTCTTGGGGCCTGGAAAGGCTTTGCTGGCCAAAACATCTGCAGAGCTATGTTTTTTTTTACATTATCTCATTTGTGTATCCCCTTTTCTTGTACCTTATCTCCTTTTCCACATTGCCTCTGCATATTTTCTCTTCTGCTCATATCTTCCGGACTTGCCAAGGTCACAATTGCCTTATTCAGAACTGTATTTGTACCTAAAAATATTATTGTTAGGATGGGTTTGTGGTATATCGAATGCAAATAATCCAGTAAAGATGCCATTCTTCAAAGCAATCTGGCTCAATCTACATCTCCCAGTTATCTCAATAACAAATTTGGTGGATGATTGAATATAAATCTAATGTGGTGTCCTCAAACTCCTGATGCATGATAATTCAGATTGGAATATTGGGGAAGAGAGAATTCCCCAACTTTGCCTTCCCCCCTCTTTCCAGTTTCATAGCTATCAACAAATTATCAGGGCTATGGGGGTAAACTGAAAAAATTATGACTTTTACTCTTTTCTGGCCAGTGCTGGATCTATTAGTTTAGAGTCCAAGTGTAAAAAAAGCATGATGAAAGTGAAAGTATATATCATATATACTGCATCTGAGGATTGCTGATTAAGCTCAGGTGGTTTAGCCAATATATAGTCTTCCTGAGCCATGGGTCTTTCTCTCTTTCCATCTTATAGGCATTAAGAGAGTTGTTTTAATCCTACCCATCATGTATTTGGTCAAGCCACAGGCCATTTGGGAGGTGAAGGCATGGGATGGGGCTTAACATATCTGGGATGGACTACTTCCTGGGGAGTTGATTGCATGGACTCAATTTCAGATTTATAGAATGGTAAGCCAGTGTCAGAACCACCTTGGTCATCTCACCATCCTCTCAACTTTATCTTACGATGATTGAAGATTTAAAAACAATTATCAGAGATCTGTTTAGTGAGTATAATTCAGTCACTACTATTATGCTAGCTTTATGAGTACTGTAATAAATAAACCCAGAAAACATGAAGAACCATCAAAAATACAATAATTTAATAACAAATGTATTAATTGTATTAAATAAACATCATCAGGTTATATAGATCAAACACAGAACTGAATATGTACTGATATTTAAATATGTGAGCTTAATTTGTCAATATGAAAGATGTCATTCAGGAGAATTTGAAAAAATAATTTTAATTTTTGTGAAGAATTGAGGAAAATATATAGATAACTTCCATTGTCTCTACTAAGTTAAAATGGTTACCCAAAACACAAGAATTTTTGATTAAAGTTGACAAATATGAATGTTTGTGCTGGATGTGAAATGATTCAAAGCTACTGTAATTAGGAACAAATAAAACCTTGCTGTTTTTTTAATTTCAATTAAAAGTTTTCTAATTTATTAAATACAAGCATTAATCATTTTGTTGGAACTTACAATGTACTGATTACGTAAAATAAAGGTAATTGCCCAAATGATAAGAAAAAATTAAATGAAAAAGTTTTCTAATTTATTAAAAACAAGCATTAATCATTTTGTTGGAACTTACAATGTACTGATTACGTAAAATAAAGGTAATTGCCAGAACAATAATAAATATTAAAAGTATTCACAAACTAGGAGAAATAATTGTCTTCATATCTTGACCTTGTCAACGCCTAAGGAACACAACAGTATTTAGAGGTGGAGTTGATCTTTTATGTAAGGCTATTTACTCATCTGCCTGGATATGCAAAAATACTAAAAAATTCCCAGGTGAAGGCACAATTATAAAAAAAAAAATACTGTGTTTTTGAGGTGTTGATAAGGACAAGATACGAAGACAATTTTTTAGTTTCTTCTAGTTTGTAAATATTTTTAGTATTAGTTATTACAGCTCCCGTTTTGAAAGAAGTCGATTATTTTGCTTTGTTTTGCATATTTTCTTTTCTTATTAATTCTGCTAAATCCCTGGTTGTCGCAATAATTGAAAAAACTGTTTTGGATTGCATTTATAAGCATGTCAATGTCATTTCTAATGCATCGAATGCTTTACAGGAAAGCATTTGATGCATTAAAAGCATATGAGCAATATTTTAGAACTTTATTGAAATTTTTTTTAATGCTGTATTAACTGCATATTATTCATTTATTAATATAAAATTAAGCTGTTTACATATTTAAAATGAATGATACATTTCAATTTTACTAAGTATAAGTATAATTTGTGTAATAAGATAAATTGCAAGGAATAAGAAAAGATATGTAAAAGTGATTACTCCTTTGATCAATGCATTGATAGTCAAACAAGACGGCCAGATGGTCTGTTAAGGCAACGGCCTCTACCACTCTAGAGAAGCTGGAATTGAATCCGAGCAGTTGAAAACTTTCCAGAGTTTTTTTACTGCTTGGATAGCACCCCAACTCTCATTTTTTTATGTGGCCAAATTCTATCTTGGCTCCTATGAAAGATAGAGCACGGTTTAAATTAGATTTGTAAAGGAAAGACGGATTCAAAATGTTTTTTCTTCTGGTTAAAATACAGGTGAAATGGCTGGACAACATAAAAAAAAATGAGTTGTGAAACTATATGGCATGAAATCATGCAGAGAAGTTTCACACAGTTTTTTCCATTTGTATTTTTTATGTATGTGTAGATCCATCCAAAAATATAACATAATTAATATACAATGGTATCTTTATCTTGACTTATAAGTTTTACAAGATACGAGCCCTTTTTTTTTTCTTTGAATTGAGAGCTAAAATTCCAGTTACAAAACAATTTCAGATACCTCACCACTAGTTGGCGCAGTGAATGCCGCAGTGAACTATAGATTACGAAAAAGAAGATGGAAAATTGCCGTAATTTTGTCATTTTTCTTACTCTTCCAATTTCTGACAGGCTAACTTATAGAAAAACATGTGATCGACTGACATAGGCATTAGTTCACTTACATGTTGTGTGTGGCACTACCATCTTTCATTTCTCGAATTTTCCATCTTTTCTTTCTTTATTTATGCAGCAAATGCTGCAACCTTCATAAAACCAGTTTATTGTAGTGCATTCTATTGTGTTTTTATACAATATTCGTTATTTATAAGTACATTATTCTTATTTAAAAACATGTAACAAAAAAATTGTGTTTTGGGAGTCCGGAAAGGATTAATTTCATTTCAGTGGAGAAAATTGATTTGACATACGAGTAATTTGAGTTATGAGTTCCATCATGGAACAAATTAAACTTGTAAGTCAAGGTGCCACTGTATTTATATACTGAAATTAAAATTTATTTGCCAAGTTTTTTAAAAATTATATCATACATTTAAATTTCAGAAAGCTGAAGCAGATAAACAGATTACAACATTAAAAACTACTCTTGAAGATGTAAAAGCATCGAAAGAGGTAAGCAACACAAATCTTTGGATTTAAAAATGATTCAAAAATAACTGTTATATAATACTTTTTATGTAGGCCATAACAGAGAAGTTGCAGTTAGCAGAGAGAGAAAAGTCTCTAGTTGAAGGAAAATTACAGAAATCAGCAAATTATGATGCAGAATTAGCAACAGTTACAGCATTAAAAAAACAATTAGAAGAAATGAATAAAGTAAGTTTTCGTAAGTGCTATAATAACAGGGTGCCCAAAAAGTTACTGTGGAGTTAGATATTTGTAATGGCATTAAAGTTACACATACAGTATGGAGTATGAGTAAGTTGTACGCTCCATGTTTCCAGGCATTACTGCTTGCTCACAGATATTCTGGAATGTCTATCCACATTCACCCAGACACAGTTGACTGAGAGTGAGAGTGCAGATACATATTGTCCAAGTGATAATGGTGTTGACAATTGAATGATGAATATTCTTGGTGGAGCATGTGTTCCATAACACTGGGAAATTTGTGGATACTGCGCAACAAAGATTTGCCTGGCAATTTCTGGATGCATGGGTGCCACATCACAATTCCATGCAAAATTTTTCAAACAGACAGTGTTGTAGACACTCTTTGAACTGATATGCCCTTAACCTCGGAAGAGAAAGTTCTTAAGATCCAGGAAACGATGCTTGAGTTTTACTTAAACGTTTTTTCACTGCACAGTAATTTTTTGGACATGTCGTATTTCTACATAAATTAAAATTTCGGTTTTTAAGTAACAGTTCAGCTTAAAGATTCTTAAAATCTTTTTTAGAAATTACTTAATGATTTGGAAATTAGTATGAAAGAAAAGACTGAAATGGAAGAAAACATTAATTCACTTAATAAATCAAAAGAGCAGTTAGAGGAGCATATAAAAGATATTCAACAGCATCGTGATACTACTGAAACACAATTAAATAATCAATTGGATAGATATTCTTCGTTATTTGGTTTGTGTTAATTTTATGTGTATATTATTATGGAGGATATCATTTGATTTTGTTGTTACAATTATTTTTATTCAAATTTTTCAGATGGTATCATTACAGAGTGTTGTCACAACATAGAACATTCTTTAGATGAGTTTGAAAATCCCTTCCTAGCGGCAGTTACGTGTACTCCAGGTATAATGACATTTTCATCATACAAATTTCTGCTTAAGCATTTCATTATACTGTTTAAATTACCTATTAGTAAAGGCTGGTTTACACAATACAGCTATCACCAACACTTTCTTGCACCCAAAACACAAAATTTGTCTGTAATTAATGTTTATACAATGTTCTGGAATATAACTCACAAGTTGTCCTGAGCAATTGCAAGAACATTTCTCTCAAAATTCGTAAGAACACAATCTAACACATAATTCCAATCTTGTTATTGATTGATTTGATGATGCAATGAGTAAAAAATCTGATTTGATTTTCTGCGACCTTTCAAACCAAGGTTTGAAGTTGCAAGTTTATTTGAGTGAGGCAAATCTGTGCTTTTTGCATTTTTTGGTGACAAAATATCGGCAATATCACGTAAATCAGTATTAATCTGTGTGTTAATGTGGAATTACTTGTGAACAGCATCATTTCTTCATGATTCCGTAGCATAAAACAGTGCAATGATTTACCACCAAGAATAATATACATAATAACGAAAATATCGTTATTTTTAATAAAGATATTGCAATTCATAAGGCTATTTTCAGTTTAAATTTTCACATTTATTACTATTTATCATTTTACTAGAAGTGATATATCATTACTATTTATCATTTTATTAGAAGTGATATATCATTAGTGATTGTTCAACTAGTGAAGCCATTCATTTTTATAGTAGTAAGACAACTTTATTAGCTAGAACTATTGTAAATGCATTGTTTGTTATTTTTATTTACTTTATTTTTCCCATATATAAAAGTTCATGTTTTACTTATCATTTTTTTTAATATATACTTTATATTGTTTTAGAATACTTATTATATCAAGCAGAAGTGGTCAAGATTGCCGCCGTGAATATGAAAAATATATGCTGTGATTTTTCGTACAATTCGCCGGGTAAGTTTAACATATTAAGTTTTATACATCCACATTGCAATTTTAATTTTATATTTACTTTTTCAGAAATCAATAAACATTTGCAGTCATTGACAGGATTTTCACATTTAATGGCTGATTTCTTAATTCAGGGCAAAACTACTACACATTCGTCGTCTGATCTAGAGAAAGCAGATGGTAAAATATATTTTCTTTTATAATAGATTAAACATATTTATATTTAAATTTTCTGTATTATTAAACATACAATCCAATTAGATGATTGGCTTCAAAAACTTTGAATCCAATCATCTAATTATATGAATTGACAATGCCAAATTATAGCCATGATTATAAAATTAATTTTTGCATTATTTTAATACATTCACTGCCATAATTGCTTTGGAATGGTTTTCAATGCAACACCGAATATGCCAATCCCATTTGTGAGTGTCGTGAAAGTTTGCCATGTTTCTTGCTTGGAAAATTTTGCTGTATTCTTCCAGAACATATATTATTTTTTTGACAATTTAACATACATATAATAAGCATATGGGTAGGAACTTCACTCCTACGGGAGCAGTGAACAGCTAATGACAATAATTTATTTAATGGCTTAAATAATTTTTCATGCCTTTACATTAAGATTATATTATTTTGAATTTACAGAGTTAGTTAACGCTTGCCGAACTTTAGGTTTGAAAACCATAGACTTATTTAACTGCTTAAGATCAAAAGGTATGGTATTGGATTGTATTTGGCATCGTAATATAAAATACTTTTACAAATAGATTAACTCATTCTCTTACAGATAATATAATGAAGGATAAGTCAGAAACAATGAATAGTGTTTTAGACTGCATAGAAACTATAGCATCCTTAACAGACACACTAGTTCCTAACATTACGGCAAACGAATCTCAGTCACTTTCCGACATGGTGGAGGAAGAATTAAGCAGTATGGACCGAATTATCGAGGAAGCAGCCTTACGAATTGAAGTAAATTGTCATTAAACTATCTTATTTACTTTCTTTTGTTTATATTTTAACTTGTGTTTATTTTTAGGAGCTTTTAAAAAATTCTAGAGCCGGAGATACCGGTATTAAACTGGAAGTTAATGGAAAAATCTTAGATGCTTGTACTAATTTGATGCGGGTAAATATCTTTAATACAAACGAACCCGTCATTTTATTTGTTATAGTTTTGATTTACAAAATTAACACTTTGCAGGCAATTAAAGTGTTAGTGGAGAGTTCAAAAGATCTTCAAGAAGAAATAATCTCGCAAGGAAAGGTATATCAATGTTTTTAAAATAATCATTAATTGTTTCAATGACTAACATATCTGGGTTATGTAGAAAATTAATTTTAAAACATTAATATATACAATCTAGTTTTTTGATAATGTGGTGGATAATTTCTTGAAAGTAGCACATTAAGTGAAATTTCCAAACACTTAATAGTGATCTTCAGAATTCATTCTACCAGAAAAAGTGGCATGTAGCACATTATAACTGCATTAAGTGTTAACCATTAACCACGGATTATATATACATGGCAGATCAGAATATGTGCGAAAAGATAAGTTTGTTTTTATTACACAATACATCTATTCCATACCAATTTCAAAATAAACTCATGCTGTAGTTACACACTTCTGCTTGCATCTGAACCACTTGTCAAAGCCATCCCAGATGCCACTTTTTACGATATCTTTTGTCACTGCAACTTCCTCGGTTGTTCCCGGTTAATAAACATTTAAAAACGAGGAGCATATCAATGCTTCTTCAACCTCTCTAAACCTTTGATGTTGTCCAGACTTCATACCAATTCTTAAAATGAAAAAGAAGTTAAAGGGTCCAACAAGCAACAAAGGTGGAAGCCACAGTGAAAATAATTGGTAAAGACATCACATAAAATGGCTTCCGAAACTACTTTGACAAGTAATTTGGATGACGGAAGAAGCGTGTAGCTGCAGTAGGAGTTTACTTTGGAAGGAGTGTAAAGTAAAACTTGATTATTTCTCGACTCCCTTGTGTGTTTATGAACAGAAGTTTTAGTTCAGTGCAACCTAAAGAAATCCAAAAATAATTCTGCAATCTCTGATGCCCATTCTCATTTACAGAAACTCGATTAATTTCTAAACACATTTTACTTTGGACCATTACAGAAGCTGGGATATTATACTCTGTGACATTGAGCATTCAACATTTTTGCAATAATATGAATTATTCAATTTCAGAGTTTTGATAATGGAATTAATGCTGTGTTTAAAAAAAAACAAAAATAGTTTTCCAACTTGCAAATATACATTTGTATTACATAATGATATTGAGGTCGTATAAATTATGCAACATGGTTGTTGTGTCACACAATTCTTTACTGACATCACTACCAGTCACACATAACATTGCCGACGGCATCAAGCGTTTATATTTATACCCAGCATGTGATCGTTAATACATATTTTTTCTTCTGAAGCAAATTCGGCACATTTAGCAGCCAGAGGCAATGTAAATGTACAGGAAATGCATATTAATTATATTCAAATTAGCAAAATATTCTATTTGAAAATGGATCTTGCAATATAAATTAATGATTAAGCTTTCTTATATATTATTATAATATAAATACCTTTAAACAAAATTTATTCTACTAACAAACCAGAAAAATTAATTTACATATTAATAGATAACTGCAACATTTATTTCTGCAATAAATTTGCTCTTACAGCTGTATTAACAGATTTTAGTTGTAAACTTAATAAGTATGCGTGACCTAATTTATTTCTTTCTTTCAACTGGAAGGGATAATTTAATGATTAACATCTGCTAATAATAATCATTGAATTTAGAGGCAAAATTTCTAAATTTTGTTAAATCATTAAATAAAATAAATGAATTTGCGTATTTTTATTTTTATATGCAAGTTGTTCTTAGTTATAAATGTTTAAATGAAATTGCATGTAAGTTGGAAATCTTTAAAAATACAATTCATTTAAAGAAAGTAAAACAAATAATGTTCTGAAAATCAACTACTGGAAGCAATCAGCAATATTGCCTGCCCTATATTCGTACAAAAAATTTTTAAACTGTTTTAAAAAAACAAGGCTTATGACCACTTTTGATCTTACTTTGTGCATTTCTAGAAGGACAATGTGGCTGCCTTGTCGGATAATTGTGCACATCCGACAAGGCTGTAATGTCACCCTTTCAAAAACCAATGAAGTAGGGTCGGAAGCAGTCCACAGTCATCGTAAAGTGAATCTACTTAGTTAGATTTTTACTTTTAAATTTAAAATATGATCTGCATTTTTATGAAATTACTAGCTGTTACCCGTGGCTTTGCCAGCATGGATTTTGCAAGCAAACCCCATTTATATTCAGTATTTCAGCAACCATAGTAATTGTTATATAACACCTACCGCTGAGAATGATGAGAATTGCCAAAAATCAAACAAACTATTTTCAATTTGATCAATTTTCTGGAACGTTTACAATTGTTCTATAGGCGAACCAATATGCAATAACAAATTCGAATTTAAAACGGTTTGAACATTTTTAAAATCGAAATAGATAAAAATATTTATAACAATGTCTGAAATGTTATTAATTTAATACACCTAAGTACTTGATGAAGACTAAATCCTCTCCCTCTCCTACCCGCGGGAGAATTTTGAAAAAATCCCTTCTTAATGTGCATTGCCATGGCGTACCCTACTAAAACTCAGATAAAAACAGAAAATTGCATCTAAAATAGTACAGTAGAAGCCATTTTTCCAGTTAAGCCTTAATCCTCTCCCTCTCCCCCTCCCCCAGCGGAGGAATTTCAAAAAGTCCCTTCTTAGTGTGCGTTTCCACGACGTACCCTAACTGTCTACCAAATTTCACCTCTTTAGGTTCAGCGGTTTGCTCTGGGCGATGATGAATCAGTGAGTGAGTGAGTCATTCAGTCAGTCAGGACAAGCAATTTTATATATTTAGATTTCCTTAAATTTTAGTAAAAAGTTGTAATTATGAAAATATAAACATTTCTTTTTGCCCAATTCTTAATTGTATTGTAGAAAAATACACAAATATAGGGAGTCTGAAAGTGTAATAGTGTTTCTCTGCAATTGGGTTTCCTTTTTTAACTTTAATTTTTATTTCATTATTGATATAATGTTTTAGAAATTTGGAGTTAACTACCCTCTGTAAGTCAGAACAGAATGAAAAATTGATTTTTTGTCTATTTTTCTACAATACAATTAAGTAAGAATTGGATAAATAATCTGGCTCCATTGTTTTAAATAATTACTGTATTTTGAATACTTTTTGCTGGAGCTGTTTCCCGATTTGGCAGTGGTCTTGACACTGCAACACATACATTGTGTTTAAAATACTGCTAGAATGAATCCAAAGGGAACTGTTTTGATTTAAAACTGAAATAATCTGCAAGTAAAATGAATAAAATATCGTGACACGAATCAAGTTAGGACATTTGTTTCCACTCTGTTTGTATGTAACTTTATATACATGATAAATTAATAAATTCAATCTTTTTAGGGTTCTGTTTCAGTAAAAGAATTTTATAGTAGAAATCACAGATGGACGGAAGGTCTAATTTCTGCAGCCAAAGTCGTCGGTCTAGCTGCAAAATTTTTAGTGTAAGTACTAGAGATCTTAATGCTGTCGTTTTTTGTTTCCTAGTAGACTAATAATACACGTAAATGTGATACTATATCATCAGTGATGCAGCAGATAAAGTTGTCAGAGGAAACGCAAAATTTGAAGAGCTGGTTGTTGCTTCTCAGGAAATTGCAGCCGCCACAGCACAGCTGGTCGTCGCTTCTAAAGTCAAAGCCGAAAAGGGAAGCGAACGAATGGCGAAGCTCTCCAATGCTTCCCGGCAAGTCTCGGAATGTACGGGCAACGTGGTGGCGACGGCCAAAAACTGTGCACAACTCACCGAAGAGAGCGGTAACTTGATTTTTTGAGCCTTTACAATCCGTTGCCATTAACATGTATTATTTTAACTAATTATTATTCTATTTTAATATACAGAAGTTATGGATTTCACCAAATTAACACTCCATCAAGCAAAAAAATTAGAAATGGAATCACAGGTATATAACAGAATTAAAGCACGTGGATATCGCTCCAGTAGATTCGATTGGTTCTCAAATAACATTACCTTTGCAGGTGCATTTACTAGAACTAGAAAGCGCACTGGTCAAGGAGAGAGCCCGACTGGCTGGTCTACGAAAGCAACACTATCATTTGGCGGGAGCAAGCGAAGGCTGGGAAGAGGAGGTAAATTTACTTTCCGATAGTTTGCATTTCAAAACTGGTTTTTCTAAAATTTACTTTCGAATAGGACGTCCAACAATGACCGAACAAGTGACGAGTTGACCACATTCCTTCATTTTTAATGGAAATCATCGGTGCGTCTTGGCAGCCGTCGAGAGAATTTCGGCATAAAAGTTTTAACGCCTTTCAATGTACAAGAGACTTCCTCATAATGTTCCATGCACCAGTATATATAAAGTATAAATATATATACACACACAAAATATATGTGTTAAAAAAGAAAAACAAACAAACAAAAAAAAAACAGAATAGTTTTGTAAATAAGTGTGTGTGTGTGTTTGTGACACGTTCAAATATCAAGTTGGTATTCGTTGTGGACTTTTTTTTGCATATTTACACAAAAACTTGTTGCAAATTTTTAAACAATTTATACCATTTAGTCTATAAAGATACAAAGCAGGATTAGATCTAAAGGCAAAAAAGAAAAAAAAATTTATCTTTTCTGCATTATATATAAATATATTCCAGTGTAAAAGATGATCTTAAGTGATATATATTTTTAAATAGTTTTTTGTTATTCCAACAAATTTATATATATATATATATATTTTTCACAATTGTTTATATTTAAATTTGCACTAGATGGTCAGAAAGTTGAGTTTTTATTTACTTTAGTTCGCTCGCCGAATGACCCCGAATCGACATAAAAAACTGTCTTTGTATCTCTCTCTATTATTATTATTTAATTAAAATCTATGTAGCTGTCAACCGATAATGCATTTTGTATTTATCCATGATGTTCAGAGCGGGTGTCGGCGTCAAACGTTTCCAGTTTTATGTCATTTTTTTGTACAGATTGAGATCGCTTCGGCACCGACTTCTCGACAAAACGGTTCGTAGCTTGTTGCTAATCGACTCTGTGCGCAAATTATTATATAGCACAAATAAAAAAAAAAAAAGAAATATAGTTGAATGCATTCTTTTCCCTTATGAAACAGTTGTACTGAATGGCAAAATATTATATTTTAATTTTTCATCTGTACAAAGTAAATTTCTATAATAGTTTACACCAACTTTCAGTGGAACATATACAGCAATATCAAAATAATACATATTCCTATGACGCAGCCAATGATGATGGAATCTCTACGTTTCCTTATGTTGATTCGTTGCATCAAGCTGTTGATCATGGGGAAACGATCTTGAACATGTTAAGGAATAACAAATGTTTAATAACTTCACCGTTTAAATTGTACAAAGGATACTAGCCAATGTTGTCATTTTAGTTTGAATGGCCTTCATTGCAATTCTTTGATTCAATAATTCGTCTTTAGTTTTAACTGCAATACTGTTAATTTTATGTAAGAATTACTGATTTTTCTCGGCGCGTTTTCGTAACAAGACGGCTTACCTGATTTGTTCATCGACCATCCGATCTGAACTAAAGAAGCAAATTGAATTAAACATTATAAATTTAACGCTGTTTTAACAGCATATCCGACTTACCTCCTTACGTGTTCGTGTTCCTTCATATATAATTCGTTTCTTCTATTCAGACCAGAATTTTTATATGAACTGAAATTAAACAGAAATTGGTCTTTAATTGTACAATACTGAATTGGAGTTTGAACTTTTTTCAAACGCTTCAAATATTCTGACCATCAAAAAAACAGTACCTGATCTCTCTGTTGACGGAGCCTAGAAGTTCCTCTCGCTGCCTTTGTGCTTGTATATTTGCACTAGTTTTCTGAAATTCTAACGTGTAATCTTGCAGTATTTCCCTATGACGTTGTAAGGTGTGGAGAACAGTCGCGCTAGAAACCGACAAGCCTTGTACTTGGGTAAATGAAGCCATTTTGTCATTTACTTCCTTCAACTGAAAGGGACGACAATATAGTTTTTATCTTATGTAATGGCAAATTTTTAACTCCCAAATTTTTTATTACTCACTTTTGCTAACAGCTGCTCGATTTCAAGCATTATCGTCTCGAACATGTGTTCGCTGCTTACATTACTCAATAAGGGAATCGTATCCGAACTGAAATTTAAAACACAATAATTTTAATAATTAATAAACCTAAACTGCCAGATTACTTCTAGGTTATATTAAATCTGTCTACCTTCAACTAAATTAGCATTATCATCATCTTATATCTAATTACTGATTTACGTTCATGTTGTCATGAATTTCTAGTAACTTTTTTTTTTTTTTTATTCATCAATGATGATAGTTGCTGATAGCGTTACCAAGTTAACGCAAGCAAACCACATGAATAAATTAATCAAGTGTAAAAAATGTCTTTCAAAATGAAAACAACTCAACAATAAGGAAACGTTTTTGATTTTGCAGGGAAGGGGGAAAAATTTTTTTTATAAATCTAGACTTTCCTGAATACAGAGGGCCGATCAGGAAAAAAATGAGTAATAAATTCTACAGTTAATAAATTAGCGATTAATTGAATGAATTAAATTTAATAAAGCATATTTTAAGTGTGAAAGAAATATATTCAGTTAGTGATTTGAAAAAAATTTCATTAACAATTACAATAATTTGACATTCATAGAAAACTAAATCTTCATCTCTTGGTAATACAAACTGTGGGGAACGTAGAGCATGTTAAATCTACAACCACTGTGTAGCATGGGTAAAGTTCGGAATGGACAAATCGTCTGCGAAAATCTGAGGATCTGATCCATACTCGAATTCACATTTCAGGACAACAGGCCAATATATTTACTGCTTCAGAAATCACTTGTCGGGAATTGTGTTAGAATCTTAATCCAATTCTTATACGATGCCATCTTTTATGTAATGTTACATTATTCTAATTATTGACGATCTTAAGTTTTTATATAAGGTCATGTAATAAGTTTGCTCAGATTTTGATGACCTATACGTTTGTATCATTATTTGGATATAGTAAATAGGTTGAACTTTTATTTCCATTTTAAACAAATATCTTGTAAACAATCAACTACTCCAAGGATGGGCAATCTTTTTAGATGGTGGACCAAATTTTCTAGGTTAAATGACCACTTGGTTGAAAAAGATGGCAGAAAAACAATCCATTGGGCAACACACAATAGTTGGTATATAATAAAAAGTTACATTTGTATAATTAGATTTATTGTATGTAATAAATGGCCAGAGAAATATTTTGAAAATGATCATGGGCCACATTACATACATACATTAGGGATCAGAGTTGGCCTGCAGGCCGTCTAGGTGACCCCTTTCTGGATTGGTTCACACTGCCAACAGCAGTGAGAACCAATCGGAGATAAATGACAAAACCAACATTTTAGCATTTATCTCCGATTTTCATCTTGTTTAACGTTCGAAAGTTAGCCAAGATTTGACACTTGTCATCATTGTAATGGTACCGGCCAATCAATGTTAACTTTCCACAATTCTCTTTGAACAAGATGGAGGAATGGCTAATTTCACGTGCCAAAGAAACACTTTGTCTCATCAATATTGAAGACGTAACATTATATTCCACACATCCATTTTTAAAATGGACCAGTCTGGTCCAAAAGTGCAGAAATCCACGAAATAATGCTAAGTCTAATGTAAACTACACATGCTATAATGTGAAAACTAATGAACAATGCGAATGCTTTGGCAACGAACAAATATGACAAAAGATGCACCATCGTTATCATTTAGCAGCCGTGATCATTGTAAGCATTAACATGGTCTAACTTATCAATTTTACTAAATGGTCACATGATGTTTGGCAAAATCAAGTTTTGCAATTATTAGTTCTAACCATGTATTCAATGTCTCAAATGAATAATGCGCATTACTACTGATTTAGCCACTATACTCAGAAAATTAACATTTGCATTTCAGTTTTTACTAACTGTACTTTATCAGCAACAGAATTTCTCTCAAATGTATTATTGTTAAATATCTAACTATATAAAGCTAAAAACAGGATTCTTTCTTTCTTTCTCTCTGTCACTGTATGCCAAAAATGGACACTAGGGGTGCCCCTAGCTATTATTTAAATTAACAATAAATTTGGTATATTATTATTTTTATTTGTAATAGGAATTCATTATTTATACCACGGAATGACACCGCTGCTGCTAGAACGCCAACTAGGGGGCATTCCGGGATACTAGAATAGAAGGATTAGAAGTACAAAAGTACGAAATAATCTAATAATCTTCATCTTTGTTGTTTTTTGCCTGGGCAACGCTGGGCTCATCTGCTGGTCTATAATAATTCTGATTCTTTATGTCTAACTATACTTAAATACTTACTTTTCCGAAGTCAAATCGTGTGATCCGTACGTTGTACCCAATTTACTAAATGAAACTAATTTCAGATCGATTTCATTCTCCAAATTTCTTGCCTGCCTTCTTAAATCTGTTTAAGAAAAAATATGTTAAATTATTCATCTTAAAACTGGATTTAGATAGATGTTATCTATGGTCTATTGTCTGCTAGAAAGTGATGGATAGTTTTACTTTAGATAAAAATGTATTTGTTAAATATAACTTTTTCTTTTTTTATAATCAAATTTGATTTATTTATTAGGCTTGATTAGCATAACTAACTGAGTGCCATTTTACCTCACACCCACCTTTACAGGTCCTGGATGAAATGCCTACTGTTCTGTATCTGTTAGATGATTGCAGTAACTTAGCCAATTATATTGTATGGTACCTATCCTAAACTTTAACTTAAGATTATGATTACCAGGATTTGAATATATATCAAGAGCCTTAGAATCATCAATGGTATCTACTGAGCTTTTTTGATGTCAATCATTATACACCACGACATCTAACGTTTAGTCTAAAACACTAGGTTTTTCTAACTGAGGAGGGTCTTGTCGTGATCCACTCTTCACTTTTGTAACCAGGAGAATTGTCCACAATGCTTCTTGTTTTCAATGCATCAAGAAGCATCATAAACAATTCTCCAGGTTACACACCATGGAATATAATAATCAACACCAATAAAGTTAACTTGCTAATGTCTGATATATAAGATAAAAAAGTAAAATTCTTTTATGACATAGCCATTTTTATGATTTAACAACCATTTTCCCTTGTCTAGCCAGTCAATACAAGTACAGTAGATTGAGAATTAGTACTCATTAATTAAAAATGACTATTATATTTGTATAAATATCTGTAATTGTAGATATCATCTGCATAGATTTATTACATCTTTATCAAAATTTGCCCTATCCTAATGACTCCGAATTGCAGACAAGTGATTCCTACTCCTAAAACCGTATGGTCTAAGGAAGCCAAACTCCAAATACCAGTTCTTTTATTTCTTATAATTTACATTAACTCAGATCAAATTCTTAAGTTGAGACAAGGCTACATGACAGACTAAACCCCTTACAGTGGTAGCCATGAGACTCATCTCAAGAGTTATCTTTCGGTTTTCCAAAGGAAGGGCAATGATAATCACGGTCCAGAGTGGTAACTCTCCATTTAATGCACTGCAGGCAAAATGTTTTCAAGGAACATCTTGTGACTATGGATGTTGCAATTTTGTGTAAGAACTGATTGCAGAATTGAAACAACTTTCACAAGAATGGAATCAATTACAGGGTGAAAAGGATGTTTAGGTATGTTTTTTCTTTTGCAGAGAAAATAGATATCACAAACACAAATTTAATAAATCTTATAGTAATAATTGAAATAATGAAACAAAAATTGTAATAAAGTTAAGATCGATTCTCGCATTATTGCCGATAAAAAGCCTTTCGTATCACTTTCCCAATAAACTATTTCTATTTTTATCTGAGACATTACCAACTTTGGAAAATAGTCTTTTTGTGGATATAGAGATTACCATTATGACTAAATGTTTTTGTGCTTGCTTGTACAATCCAGGGAAGACTCCTCATCTCAGATCGGAGTTCCAGTGGATTTGAAGACAACACTGCCACCAGATTGGCAAAGTGTACGTGCAAGCCATCACCAGTCCCTCTTAAGCTTGAGATGACTTTGCCAAAAACTTTTGGTCATTAAACAAATTTTTGAATCTATGATTTAGAATGTGGCAAAAACTATGTGAAGACAGAACTAAATCTTTTATTTAATTATTGAAATGAATATCCTTTGCAGTTATTGTTGTTGCCTATTTTAATTTGCTTTACACACTAACTTATCATTGGAATAAATTTAGAAATGGCGACACAAGTTTCGCCACTTAGTTCTTCGGGGACTTTAAAGGTTCAATCGTTTCTTTAATTATTTCTGTCTCCCAAATGTCTAATATTTCGGGCACTTTGGGGTCATTCAATATGACTGAGTATAATGGTTCTTTCATCTAAGAAAGAGTCAGTAGAAAAGAATAAATTCCAGAATCTAATCAGTATAATTGCAGCAATGCTACTTACAACATTTTCCAGAAAGGCTCATTTCATAAGCTTCTGTAAGATATAGTGAAGAGACACTAGATTATATACACTAGTAAAATGTTTATTGCAGTTAGACTGGTTTGAAGTAACTGAAGTAAGCTAAAATTGGACAGAGTCAGCCTACAAAAAAACTTTATCCGACGATGTCATTTCTGCAAGAAATTTGCATTTGGCTGGGTTGGCGGACACAATTTAGGTAACATAACACACTAACAACAATATACAACCATAGTTTTGTTTTTCCTATCCATTTTGCTGTTAGGAAGGACATTTTACTACTAAGGACGGAAAGATTTGGAACCGAAGTAAAGACCGTCCTTACTGAATACGGATAGGTTACAATAATAAGTGAGGGGTGGTAGGGAAGAGTAGGACAACCCTACTCTTCCCTACCAACTTTAACTGGGTTATGTTGTTTGTGGACATTCCCTAATGTAAAATGTTTCCACAATGTTAAACTATTAAATTTGTGAAGTTGTCACGTACAGATCATCTGTACTTTTGACTTTTTTACAACTGTGGGAATGGTCTACAGCTGTGAGAAAGTCCCAACTGTCTCATTCGTAGCTACATTGTGCCTGTTTGGCACTTATTGCGCCGCTGACAGTTGCTGGCGCAATGAGCACCACCCAGCAGTAAATTGTCAACAACAATTAATTGAGTGAAAAATATTCGTATTTTCTTCGTATTTATCCTTGTTACATACGCCCGAAGCAATTATTAGTCGATTCCTAATGAAAATTTGTGTAAATTAAACGCTAAATATCGAAAAAAATTGAGATTTACCTTCCCACTGATGAGAAGTCGCCATCTTGGGCAAGTCAGTCTTACTCATTTCCGGTTACGTTGAACAAAAGCGGAAAATCGTCATAAAATAAATGATTTAAATGATTGCTGAAATTAATACATTTTTAATTTAACTTTTAATTGATGCATTATTAATACAAAATAAGATTAATAAATAATAATTTTATGTATTAATTTAATTTATGCAAAGTGGCTACGTGACAACGTGTCGCTCTTGTTAAGAGGGTCCGGATCAAGGTCCTAGAACCTTGGATCCGGATGGCTTTAAGCGGTTCCGTTCTCTGAACACTGGGAGTTCGGTCGTGGGTTCGCGTCTCGCTAGGACGGGCTGGTTACGTGGAATTTTCCGGGTTTTCTCCAAATCTGTAACGCCTGAATAGAGCCAGTTACCCTTAAAAGACCCTAGAAAGCATTATTTCCCCGCTCTCATGTAACTCCAAAAAGTTAAAAGCTTCGACCTTCCTTTGGAGTAGGCCTATTATAGCCAGAAAGGCTGCACACACCATCAGGGCCGGCCTTCTCTATAAAAGAGCCCGGGTGCAAGAAACTATTTGGGCCCTACATTTTTTGTAAAATAAAAAAAAATTACAAACACGAACATATATTAATGCATGTTTATTTAAAGCGTGATTTTGTTCTTGCTAATACACGAATTACTTCAGGAAAATTATAATTTTTGCAATTTCTTTTTCGATGCTTAATATAGCAAATGCATTAAGCATTCTGAACACATGCTGGATCGAAGATAATTCTTTATTAATTTTAATTTGCTGAAAAAAGCGCTCAGCACTTGCTATAGTAACTGGCAACGCAAAGAAAAGTTTTAACACAGTTAATACATTTAGAAATAACTCATTATAATTATTATTTAGTATGTATTGCATATGTCTTGTGCGTTATTTACATCCCTTTCGTTCAAAATCAAATCCCGTAGCCCAGAGCCGGCCCTACCATAGGGCGAACGGAGCAGCCGCTCCAGGCGCTAAGTCCTAGGGGGCGCCTCAGTGGTAAAGAAAATTAAAGGGTATAAATTAGGGGCAACCAAGGGAGGCGCCATAATAGGATCTCGCTCCATCCTAAAACTTGCTTCGGGCCAACACTGCCGTAGCAAACCAATTTCCTGGATTAGGTTTTCATCTACATCTTTGTTATAAAACTTTACAAAGTTTTTGGAACATTTTTCTAAGGTTTTCATATCAGTGATTAATTTGACATCAGAAATAATATTTGGTATACTTTTAAATCTATCTTCTATTTGTACAATAACAGTATCAATTGATAGCGTTGATTTTACACAACATTGCAAACCGTACTATTAAACATAAAATAAATGGCATTTCTTGTATTGAATCCAATAGACTTTTAGCTTCGGATACCGCTGTATTATCGTTACTTACATAAATAAATTCTTCTAGAGCATTACAAGTTTGTTCAAACTGTGTATATGTTACTAAGAATGACCGATATCTGGCGAATGGTCAACATTCACACAGTCGTTTCGTGTATGTACGAAATATTTGCTAAATATAATCATTTCTCACTTACACCGGCAAATGTCGACATTCAGCATGCACTGATGGTGAATGCTCAATAAAAATATTTTTATTACGTTAATATGTCAAAATAGGAGAAAGCTTAAGTAACGGCACATGTAAATAAACTGTTGAACCTAAAACGAACAGTACGTTCTAAATCATTAAAGAATATAATACAATAATAAACTTACACATAAATTATGTGATTGACGTTGTACAATCTTATTTATTGCAATAACTTAAACT